TTCTGGCATATTAAACCCGTCGGGAACTCTCATATAGATATCTGTATCTAATGATCCATACAAATATGCTGTAACAACATCCATGAGACGCATTTCTAAATTTTTATCAGCCGCTAGACTCATCAAGAATCTAAACGTTATTGCATCCATAACGGGGGAATATGTTTCCTCATAATCAATCTCGGGTCTTTGAGAAAATCCTTGAGCTACGAGACGAGCCTTGTATCTCGTAATTTCATTTTTCTCATTTCGTTTTCTAACGAAAACCCACTTGTATCCAACCGGTCTCACATCTTCAGGTGTGAGTATAATAGGTCCGAATACATTTCGCTTATTAAGTGAATCAAGTTCGACTTGGATGGCATCCTTCCATTTTATCCAGTCGTGTCTCTTTTGACATTCATATACAGACTGTGGTTCTGGATCTTCGTTTTCCTCATTTATTTCTTTTGCTACGAGGTATGAGAAAACGTCATCGACTTCATCCATTTTATTTTGATCCCAGATCTTTCCATTATGGATATAGTTGATAGAAATCTCATGATTTCCTTCAGGCTCATGATGCTCATCATTGTCATTAGACTCATGATTCGTTTCTTCCAAAATGCTTTCTGCTATTTTGGGAATATCGAGCTTTTCAGCTTCCTTTCGCTTTCTAGGATTTTTATCCTTAGAACCAACTGGTCTACCACGCTTCAGGCGTGTTCTAGACTCACGTGTATCGTCTGCTTTTCCATGTTCTTGTGGAATTTCAATCCGAGCAGGAACATTTGCAGCTGGAATATGTGATTTGGTTATCGTTTTAGTATCTACAAAAGCATCAGGTAATTGATTTGCTATACTTTGTAAATGCATAATTCGTCGAACTTCCAGTTCCGACTGTTTCGTAGGAGAATCAAGATGTAACAAAGATGGTACACTCCACTTTATATTCTTTCCTACTTGTTTGTTTTCTCCCCCTAGAACTGGGAACTCTTTTTCATCAAAATGACAGTCAGCAAAGCGTGCCGTAAAGAGGTCACCAGTTCGAGGTTCTAAATACCTTATAATAGATGGAGAATCATAACCCACATATATCCCGATCCTTCTGCGGAAATGGATGAAACAATCTCCAAGAAAATGGCTCAAGAAATTTGCATACCAGATAGTGGGACAACACACACTATTCTAAAGGACAAAAGATATTTCTCTAACTTAAAACCGACAAACATGATTGTCAATACAATATCAGGTCCTGTAGACGTGATTGAAGGAACTGGTATTGCCAACTTTATGTTGCCTAATGGAACCAAGTTTTCCATAAAAAATGCCTTGTATTCTCCAAAATCTAAAAGGAATTTGTTGAGTTTCAAAGACATATACCTTCAAGGATATGATACTCAGTCTGCAACTGAGAATGAAAAGAAGTATATGTACATAACTTCTGATAAATCGGGAAAAAGGCTTATATTGGAAAAATTTCCAAAACTTCCTTCAGGATTGCATTATACTCATATAAGTGCAATCGAATCGCATCTAGTGATTAAAAGAAATCCAGAAGATTTCACATTATGGCATGATCGCCTCGGTCATCCAGGCACCTCGATGATGCGAAAAATCATAGAGAGCTCACATGGACACCCATTGAAAATCCAGGAGATATGTCATGGGAATAAAAAGACATGTGCCGCATGTTCTCTTGGAAAACTTATCATAAGGCCATCGCCAGCCAAAATTGATAAAGAATCACCAAAATTCCTTGAAGAAATAAATATTTAAAGCAGTGCATAAAATTAAGGCGGCTCAGCCGACCGGTAGCAGAAATAAATATTTAAAGCAGTGAATAAAATTTCAGGTGGCTCAGCCAACCATTAACAGAAAATAATTAATTATGGTGCATGAAGTAACATATATATACATATATAGTTTCTTTTATTTATTTATATAATTTTCTTTTCTCCTTTTTTTTTTCTCATATTTTTTCTTTTAACGAGGCGATATACCGCCCGGTATAATACCGTATTTTTTTTTCAGCGATCATAGAGTGATCGTGCTGATAACGTGTTATAATAATTACTTTATTTTATGGTGTATATAAATATAAATAATGGAGAAAGAATTTATACCCGCAGAAGGATCGGGATACTGAAAATAAAGAGATGAGAGGGAGAGAGATTATTACTTCTCTTGTAATTGAAGTAATGAATTGTGATTTTACATCGAACGAATTTGTTCGTTTATATAGGCGTAAAAAAGTAAATTACTATGCGTGCATAGTGATGATGGGCTCCACATAAATTAATAAATAACGAAACGTTTAACCCATGTGCGCATCTTTTGCGACTTTACGATTCCTCCTTTTCACGACTTTTATAACAGTTTCGATCATTTTAACGGTTAATAGAAATTTACTTCAAAATATATAACTATTCACACATAATGTATAGCAAATCCAAATCATTTGCAAGAATATGGGAATAAAAAAGACATGGATAGAGAAGCAAAATAACGGTCAGACTAAAAAAATGTAAATGTTTGAATCTTTCTCTATATAGCTTTCCAACTCAAAAAGCTTTAAGCCAACCATAAAATATAGCAATTTTCTCCACAAAAATACTATAAATCTATTACCAAAACGGTCTAATAAGTTTTGAGATCATGCTCTCTATGTAATAAACCTGGGATGAATCAAGTCTCTCTGACTATCCACCAGCATATGGGTGGATGTCGGTGCTGCCTTTTTTGCATCAATGGAAACCATTAACTCTAGAATTTCATTTGCAATCCATGCGGTAAGGTTAGTTGGTGGTCGCTTGCCATATATTTGCAATCAACAAATGGAGGGGTTCATATCTACAAAGATTGAGATGTTGCACGCTAATTTTGTAAGAAACTACTAGATTTTAACCCGCAGTACACCGCGAGATGATTTATTTTCTAAAGTTAGTATATATAAAATTTTATAAATTATATCTCCTTATAAAATATTTATGGTTTATAGTTTATAATTATTATCAAGTAACGGTATATCACGAGTTCACGGAACAATAATAAACTGATGATTTAACTCGTAGTTAAGCGGCATGTTAATGAAATTTTAAAATTTTATAAATATTGATTCAAATCCGCTCGCCATATAAATCCGTTCCGAAATATACTCGTCCCATAATTTCTTAACCCATCCCGTGATTTCGTTTCTAAAAGTAGTGATTTTAAAATTTAATGATTTTGTATTATATATAAAGTTTATAAATTGTACCATTTTCTAAGACATTTATATTTTAGTAAACTAAGGATTGAATCTGTATTAAAGCGACATGTTAATGATATTTTAAAATTTTATAAATGTTGATTCAAACTCGTCCACCATATAACCCGTCTTGTAATTCCTTAACCCGTCTTTTAATATGTTTTCTAAAAGTAGTAATTTTAAAAAAACTAACGATTATTTATTATAGATAAAAGTTTGTAAATTGTATCATTTTCAAAGACATTTATATTTTATAGTTTACAATTGTTATTAAGTAGCATGATACCACGGGACAATTTTTGATTTTATACAATCTTTTCTAAATGAGATTGATTTGATATGTCTAATATTGGTGGTATTAAAAAAAATTAAGGATTTAATCCGTATTGAAACGGCGGATTAATGATATTTTAATCTTTTTATTATTGTTGGTTCAAAAACCCGTCCAGCCAAAAAACTCATTTATTTTATTAATGTTGGTCTTATTTATGATATGATTCTGAATTATTGTCTAAATATTTTAATCAATGTAGAACGTTGAACACACATTTTCGTCAATTGGATAATATATGTCCGTTTTTTAAATTTCGAATCACAGTATATGCAGAAAAAAATTTAATTTTTTTACTTTATGTATTATATGATGATTCAAAACAGTTAAAAATAAATCAAACAAATATGATAGGAGAATCATAATTCTAAATCTTCTAAATATCTAAATTTTTAAATATGAAATATCCGGTGTATGAGTTGGGTTAAATATAACCCGATCCAACAAATTTTTTATGACCAAAATTTGGAAATAGATCGGGTATCCAAATAACTCGGGAGCATTTTTATCTATCCATCACCAAAATGAGTAAATAACTGCAAAAATACTAGTATAGATTAAATTTTACATAGAGAAAATCAGTAAATATATAAATACTTGCATCCAAAGAGTCGATCATAGACAATTAAAATATCACTTCAAAGATGCAAGGGATAGACAAAGACAATCATATGCAGACAATTTGCGAGAGTTCGTTGCGGTCAATGCTAAAATGTGTATAAGGACTTTTACATGCGTGACTTATATAACACTACTACACTTGTTGATCTATCCGGTCTTTTCACGTGAGCATATAGATATCGTATTATTAAAACGCAAAAAATGAAAGTGGAAAAATGTTTGCACGAGCATTACTATCTTAAGATTTTAATCAAACAATAAATATAAAAATATTTTTGTATAGAACAACATAAAGCGTTTTAATTTTGAATGGCACTCCACTTAGCATGAATTTTTGTTGGGTATAAAATCTGGTATCTATTGATACTGAACACATAGCATGGGCTAAATCTAGAACTACTACAATAGATGATTCTATGGTAAAGTTGGAAACGAAGTTCACAGCCACTGTGCTGTTTGGGGAAGGTCAGAGGCTCTCTCGTTATCTATTTATCTTAAATAAATAGGCCCTAAACTTAATTAACTAGTTTAAAGAATCATAAATCTCATTAAATGTGTACTTGCCACTAACCCAAAAAAAATAAAATTAAGTAAGCTTTACTTACTGTAATAACGACACGTGGCGATCAACGAATCGATAAGAAAAGCACATTTTTAGCTATTGTCAAAAATGATAAAGCACGACGACGACAGGTCCCCACAAAACGCATATGATCCAACGGCTGTGATTTACTTTTCCCTACCTCGTAGACTAGACCTTATTTATTTGATTATTTTTTTAAAAATCAAAAACGCATTTATTCCGATTCCTCTTCTCTCTCTCTCTCCTCGGTCCCCTCTTCACCCTCTAAAGTCTAAACCTCGTCGTCTCATCCTCTTCTTCTTCCTTAATAATTTCTCAATCGAGAAATGATTACTGAACCAAGTCTAACCGGGATTTCAGGTACGGTTAACCGGAACCGTTTATCCGGTTTACCCGATCAATCCGCTTCGCATAGCTTCACTCCGGTGACACTATACGACGGTTTCAATTACAATCTCTCCTCCGATCATAGAAACACCGTCGTAGCTCCGTCTCAGAATTCAGTCTTTATTCGGGAAGAAGAAGAAGAAGATCCGGCTGATGATTTCGATTTCTCCGATGCTGTTTTAGGATACATTAGTCAGATGTTGAATGAGGAAGACATGGATGATAAAGTCTGCATGCTTCAAGAGTCTCTGGATCTGGAAACAGCTGAGAGATCGTTATACGAAGCTATTGGTAAGAAGTATCCTCCATCTCCAGAACGAAACTTAGCTTTCGCTGATAGAAACGACGAGAATCTTGACCGTGTGGTTCCAGGAAACTACACTGGAGGTGATTGTATAGGTTTCGGGAACGGTGGAATCAAGCCTTTGAGTGGTGGTTTCACTTTGGATTTTCGAAATCCTTCCTCGGTTCTAAGTGTTCCACAATCTAATGGTTTGATTACTATCTATGGAGATGGAATTGTTGAATCGTCGAAGAAGAGTTTGTATCCTGATTCGAATCGGGAGAGTCATCAATCTGTTTGGTTGTTTAGTAGTGGGATTGAAGAAGCTAGTAGGTTTCTTCCTGAACAAAACATTGTGAATTTCAGAGAGGAGAATTGTATGAACAAAGGAAGGAAAAACTCTAGCCGTGATGAGATTTGTGTGGAAGAAGAGAGGAGTAGTAAATTGCCTGCAGTGTTTGGTGAGGATATTTTGAGGTCAGATGTTGTTGATAAGATCTTGGTTCATGTACCAGGAGAAGAGAGCATGAAGGAGTTTGATGCGTTGCGTGAAGTTTTGAAGAAAGGAGTGGAGAAGAAGAAAGCTTCAGTGGCTCAAGGTGGGAAGAGACGAGAGAGAGGACGAGGACGTGGAAGAGGAGGAGGAGGAGGGCAAAATGGGAAAAAAGAAGTTGTGGATTTGAGAAGTTTATTGATACATTGTGCTCAAGCTGTTGCAGCTGATGATCGTAGATGTGCGGGTCAGTTGTTGAAACAGATTAGACTGCATTCTACGCCGTTTGGTGATGGGAACCAGAGGTTGGCTCATTGTTTTGCTAATGGTCTCGAGGCGAGGTTAGCTGGTACTGGGAGTCAGATTTACAAAGGGATTGTGAGTAAACCGAGATCTGCTGCAGCTGTGTTGAAGGCTCACCAGCTTTTTCTTGCGTGTTGTCCTTTTAGGAAGCTCTCTTATTTCATAACTAATAAGACGATACGCGATCTTGTTGGGAATTCTCAGCGGGTTCATGTTATTGATTTTGGTATTCTTTACGGTTTCCAGTGGCCAACTCTTATTCACCGGTTTTCGATGTATGGATCACCGAAGGTTAGGATCACTGGGATTGAGTTTCCACAGCCCGGGTTTCGTCCAGCACAGCGGGTTGAAGAAACTGGTCAAAGGTTAGCAGCGTATGCCAAACAATTTGGGGTGCCATTTGAGTATAAAGCAATTGCTAAGAAGTGGGATGCAGTTCAACTTGAAGATCTTGATATCGACAGGGATGAGATTACTGTTGTTAATTGCCTGTACCGGGCTGAGAATTTACATGATGAGTCAGTCAAAGTAGAAAGTTGTAGAGACACTGTTCTCAATTTGATCGGGAAGATCAATCCCGATCTTTTCGTCTTTGGCATAGTGAATGGTGCATACAACGCACCGTTTTTCGTGACACGGTTTCGCGAGGCTCTATGTCATTTCTCCTCGATTTTCGACATGCTTG